GGTACATCTAGGTCTACTCAATATGACAGTAGCTCTCCAGGGTCTTAAGCAGAGGTCTTTCACATCACCTACTACCAGATCCTTTTAACTGGAGATTCCAGGGATTGAACTTGGAACCTTCTGCATGTGAAGCCACTGAGCCACAACCCCTCCCATGGACATTCTTCTAAGTCCTCTGACTTGAGGACATTTTCTCTGGAGCTGCCTTATCTATTTTCTCTGGCTCAGAGGCTTTTAGTAGCTAGACCTGTCAGTATTCTAACTTCAGTAAGCATTTAATTGTGCCTTTAAACTTGTGCAATATCAGTCTCTGAAGTCTGTGTTCTTCCTGTTGTGTAAACACACTTTAAGGAAGTAGGGCATCTGGAACGTAATAAACAAGTACAAATGTATCTGCCAAGCCTTTAAAATCTTCTTTTGGGGGCCTGCTCTGTCTGTCTTTGCTTTTGAAGGTGACACAGATGCTTGTGAGCAGCAGGACCTTCTCAGATGTGGGATCCCCTCCCCTTGGAGACTTCCCTGGCACCAGATCTGATGCCTTTTGAGTACATGACGAAAACCCATTTTAAGCAATTAATCTTTACGTTTCTGTGTTTCTTTGCTGCTTCACTGCTACTTAAAGAGATTTTAAATATATTTAAATCTTTTTATTTTTCTACATGTTCTGTCCTTTTGTGCTTTTTATCCTTTGTTCTGCTTTTTATGCTTTTACTGTTCTTTGATTTTTTTAAAAAATGTTTTGCATTGATCTTAATTGTTTTTAACATGTTAACTATCCTGGGGACAACTTTTCTGGGTGAGGGATGGAATATAGACACTGTAATATATAAGTAACTGTATTGTTTTATCTCCATCATCCTCTTTGGGGATTGTTGTATGTTTGTGTGTTCTCTAGGGCTCTGCAACCCTAGTTTTCAATTTCATGCTTTGGTTTTGTGGTTAGAACCACTCCTGAAGTTAGATCTAATTTTCTTGGAGCAGAAGCCTATTCTTTTAATGCACATTATGCAGCAAATTTATTGGCTTTTCTCAGCTCCTTGACTGGAAGTTGTTGGAGAAGCATTAAGAATTTTGGATCCAACTGAGGCAAAAAACAAAACAAAACCCAGAATATTGCATGAAAAGCTGTTTGTCTACAAGACTTCTTGTATGTAATGTTGGATGTCAGCTAGAGCTCCACAAGTACTGCAAGATCAAAGACTATTTGTCCTTTTACTCTCGTTTAGAGAATGAAGATTCAACTCAGAGGTCAGAACCTGCATCTCAGACAGCTGCTGCTTCAGAGAATGATACTTTACAGTGCAGGTAGGAACATACATGTAATACAGACTGATATTAAGAGCAAAGAATGGAGAAGCATCTTTCTCTGCTACACATTCCTATGAAGTACAGATCTAGCAATTGGATCTTTTCTTCTCAAGATAAAGGGGGAAATGTAACACTGTCAAACGTTTGGTTATGAAGACTTGTTTAGAGATGTAAAATTTTTGAAAATTTTGAAGCTCGGAAAAAAACCCGGGTTTTCCCCAGTTTTTTCCGGGGGGGAAATGGAAATTTTCGGAAAAATTGAAAAAAATGCTACTTTAGTAACATAAAATATGACTTTGGACATTTTTACTTGGCGTGAAATACCGTAATTAGCATATTAACTATGCTAAATAACTAGCATATTAAAAATATAGTGTACCCAAACAATTATTACAAACAGAATACCCACCCACATGCAAAAACAAAACTGAAACCTTTTTCTTTTCTTGTGACAATAGCACCTCCTAAAGGAAGACATGCATCTTGTTCTTGCATTGGAGAGTTCAGTTTGTAATTTAGGACTTGCTTGTCCTCAGTGCACAGAAATTAGCTCAATCTGATACCATACATATTTTTTAGAAATTTGAACACCTTGTCTTAAAATATTTTATTCATCATGTTAAAATAAAATGTTCCATAATCAATTTTTTTTCTTTTTCCAATTTTTCAATTTTTCGAAAAAACCCCAAAAAAGGCTTCAGGACCCTCAGCCCCCTATTTTTCCAGTTTTTTTCTGTGCCTTCACATCTCTAGTCTTGTTGTCTATTTTGTTAAACCTGTAAAATAGGAGAAGACCAGTTATTCAAGAGAGAATTTAATTATTGGCACAAAATCATTTAAACCACCCCAAATTCCATATTGTGTGCAATATCTATGAATGGAAACCTGGCCTTTTCCTGGTGTTTCTCAGTGGTGCTTAGTCACTTATTTTCAGCGCTTAGAGCTGTAATCCTGTATATAGTGCAACCGTGCTTTAAAAAGAAAGATTAGTTAAATGGGTCAAAGTTTGTTTTTTCTTCCTTATGGCTGGAGTACAATATTATTTTTAAAAGTAATTTGAGGTAATCCTGGCTCTGATGCCTGTGAAACTGGTAGTGTAGTAGGAGACTGAAATTGCTGCTTCCTCTGTAATCCAGGGATGCTGTGTAGCAAACCAGTTGATGCCAAATAGTTTTGTGTGGAATCTCTGGGTTCGTGTGAACTCTTGGTAATTTTCTACAACACAACAGTTCTTGTACACTGCTCTAGGACAGAATTAAATCTTGCAATACTTTTAATACAAATCTCTGGGTTTTGTTATGAGTTTGTCATCCGTTGATGTTTAGCTTCCAGCTACAGTTCAAATGCCCTAAATGGCCTGAGGCTGGCTCTTCTCCCAGATAATTTTTCAAGGGTCTTGACTGAGCTAGGGAATCCTACTGTGAATGCCATAGTAAGCTGTGGCTGGATTGAAACTCCTTCCCTAGAGGTTCAGTAGACTAATTTGCTGGTAACCTTTATACCATATAGTGAAATGTTTGTTTTTTTAAAATAAAAGGCTTTTGAATACTCAAGGCCACAGCTAGACACTGAAGTATACACTGCAAACCAAAAAGTTGATTAAAATTGATTAAATAAAATAAGAGTAACAGTCTCAGTCATCATGCTTTAATTCCACTGTAGCCTAATTTTGTTCTTCAAAATGTCAGATAGCTCCAGTATATATGGAAAATTTCAGCAGTCCAGTCCAATGCTCCCTCTAAGCTGTGGAGTCTTGGGAGCAAAAATTCTACTTTGTGAGCTACTGGCATTAAAGTTGTGAGTGCGCGATTTGGCTACTGCATCGGTCAGTTTGCTCTGGAGCTATCCTTCTTGAGCTAAGGCAAAATGTGTGAACCGAAGGCTAAAAAATTGTGAGCTAGCTAACTGTGAGCTAACTCATTTTAGAGGGAACACTGGTCCAGTCTAAAGGGAGCAAGAAAAAACAAAGTCCTACAAACTAGTGCTACTTCATAAAGGAACAGTAAAGTTTCTCTGAAAACTAGGTAATTTATTCAAAAGAAGGCAAAGCTGTTCAGTGGCATATGTTGATGACTTCTAAGGCAGGTGTCCCCAAGTTGGTACTTGTGGGTGCTGTGGTGCCTGCCAATACCGTTCCTGGAGCCCCCATGCATTTTTAGAAAGTAGGTGGGTTTTTTGCCCAGCAGGTCTTCTGATTGGCTGTGGGAGATAAGATTGGTGGTGCAGATTTTTTTTTAGGTTGCTTTGGCAGTAGCTGCCTTCACAACACAAGGGTCTTCACTTTGTGACTGAAGGTGTATACAAGAAATTATTTTAAACATGTTAAACAATTGAGGCAGAAGCTCTGTTTAAGAGTTACTGTTAGAGTTAAGCATGACCTCACTCCTTGACATTTTGTGGTTCACTCTGCATTTGTGTTAGCCATTTTCTCATTGTGCTACCACCTTGTGTCAGAATTCCAAAGGTGCCTGCAGACTGAAAAAGGTTGGGGACCTTTACTCTGATGGGTTCCTGATTTATAGCACTCACTGCATGGCTGTTGCCACAATATTTGACATGAGTAAAATGGCAGGCCTGAGGGAGGTGGTTGAGGGAGGTGGCGGCAGTGGCGGTAGGCGTCCTCCTCCACTCCTCCCCCGCCCAGTGCATTGCCTCTAGTCACGAAGGTCACGGAAGCTGGGAGGGAGCATGCGCCATGGGGTGCAGGTAAAGGGCTGCCCCTCGGTGTCTCTGGTGTGCGGGCTCCGCGGCTCCCTTAGAAAAACTCCCATGGGACTTGTTGAGGGGACTCGGGCAGCGGGGGGGAGGCAGGCGGTTTTTAAAGCAGCCGCACACAGGCTGGAGTACAGAGACCAGTCCTGTGGTTAAGAGAGGGTGGATGGTGAGGAAGAGAAGCCGGCAGGAGCTGGCAACAATTTAGCTGAGTTTAAAGGGGAGGGGAGTGTCGGAAGGTAGCTCTGGGGATGAAGGATTCCATTTCTCTGGAGTGCCCAAGGAGCTCAATTGTTGGGCAGCCAGGTTGGAGGCAGCACAGCGCGCAGGTGGCGAGTTGAGGCACTTCGAGGACAGCCCAGGAGGGAGGTGGCCCAGAAGAAATGCGAGGGGGCCAGGCCCCAAAGGCCCCACATTAGCTACGGGCCTGGGTCCTGGAGAGCTTGGGATAGCTGGTTGGGACAGGAATTTGCTGCAACCTATTACTGTAGTAAGCCCTCAGTTAGGCAGCATGTGGAATTCAATAGGGCTTCAGTCTTTTAAAAGTTCTTTATGAATGTGTCTTTTTTTGATCTGGAATTGTTAAATAACTCTGGTGTCCTTTTTTGACTAACAAAATTACGGTGTGGTGATTACTTCATTCTGAGTGGAGGGCATAATTTGTTACATGAGTGTTTACAAGGTAATCCAGCTATGATGGGATTATTGGATGGGCTCAGCTGGACTGAATTTCGCTACCTAAGGGAATATAACACAGTCAAATGATGTATGCTAATAAGACAGGTTCACCTGGATGTGACAGTAAAAACATGCATTAGAGAAATCTTGCTGCTTTAGTAAATGGAGTCCCAGTTTGAGCCTTTTTATCAGTATTTTCAGATGATTGGATTGGAGCTTCATTTGTATTTGCTTTGACTGCCTGTTGCATGCTCTTAAACCATTCTGCATTGATGTACTGTCTTTCTCTGAGAGGTCGCAAAATGGATCACCTGTGAATGGGGGTGCTACGGAGGACTTGGCAACTGGTGATACTGATCTGAAAGAGCAATATGTAGCAGGAAAGGAAGCCAGCTGGTTCCAGCAACAAAAAGAAGTAGGTAGAGGACTTGTTACTGTATTTTGTTTCTGAATACAATATTTATCTTTGCTGCAAAGGGCCAGTGTGTTTCCTGAATTTTGTGTCATACCCTGTGTGTTTCTCTTAAGATAACTTGGTTTGTTTTTTTGTGATTCTAAGTAGGATTCTGAGTAGATAAGCTCAGCTGTCTGAACAGCTGTTGCTGGTACTGATAGGTATCTTAACAGAGATATGAACCTGTACTATAAAGTACTAATTTTAGCATGAAAGCCCCTGGAAGATCATAAACCAAGTGATGACATAATATTAGGGGGCACCTACATAAATTGTTAGCAATACTTATTAAAAATTATGTTAATTTGGCCTCTGTGGACATGCCCATAGGTAATCTTGCTAGAGTACTTCTGGTTTCTGAAACTGAATCTCTGCGGCTGTGTTCAGGTGAACACTATATGTAGTTGCTTGGTTTGTTATTGATTGTCCATATAATGGCTTGGATCCAGGCTAACATTTCCACTGGTAAAAATACTATACCTATGGAGCATGATTTTCTGCCCTTCTGTAGCGGCACAAAATGCCCCCCCCCCAATCCTGCTCCTGGGGTAGCAGGAACTGTAGGACTAGGATGGGATGGGGTGCATTTGGGGCTGCTGCTTGAGAAGGGAGGCTGCAATATCATGCTGCATGGGTGACAGTCCTTGTACCTGTGGAAATATTAGTCTGGATCCCAAGTCATAATGAGATGGGAGTTAGTTTTCAAAAAATGAAATTCTTCATACTGCTTGAAGTAATTTATTTTATTTCCTGCTGTTTCCCCTTGGAGACTCTAAGACTTCAGATATAAATTTCAGTTTAGTGCTTCAGGAAAAATTTTAAGCCAAAAAGCCAAAAATAAAGTCCTTTTTAATGTCAGGTAATATTCTACATATTGCAATGAATGCATTTATCAAAATACTAGTGCTGTATAATTATATATGTATAATTTATCCTGTACTGGAACATGCATCTGAACAAGTGGGCTTTGGCTAAAGAAAGCTTATGCCACAATAAATACGTTAATCTTTAAAGTGCTGCAAATCCTCTCATAATTTTAGCAGCAGACTGACATGACTACTCTAGAATTTCTTTTTCTTCGATAGCTCTAGGCTTGACTGAGCAATTTTGATGGTAATTCTTACTGGGCAGCCAGCCTGTACTGTTAAAAACGGATGCTGTGAAGCAGGATGTAGACAATGTACCTCCTGCTTAATTTCTTCACTAGTCCTTTTACTGATCTTCTCCTTCACCTGCATTGGCTAGCAAGACTACTTTTGCCCCACAGCAGACAAGAGAAAAGGACTGCATGGGGCAAACAAGGGCTTGGAACAGAAGACACAGTGCCTGCAGTCTATTAGTGATAGACTGCAGGAGGTGGTGGCAGCTACAAGCATGGACGGCTTCAAGAGGGAATTAGATAAACATATGGAGCAGAGGTCCATCAGTGGCTATTAGCCACAAGGTATAGATAGGAATTCTCAGTCTGGGGCAAGTGATGATCTGTATTCTTGGGTGCTTGGAGGGGACACAGTGGGAGGGCTTCTAGTGTCCTGGCCCCACTGATGGACCTCCTGATGGCACCTTATGTTCTTATGAACTTTTTGAAGATATTGGTGTGACATTAAGAAGACTTGTGTCCTTTGCACAGGAGGCTGTAGTGCAGATGACAAAGTACCCTGCCCCACAAGCACCGGGTGATATAGTCATGATACAGTCTGAATACACGGGTGCAGTGGATGTCCTTTCAGCAGAGCTGGAAACCACAGACTTGCTGGGTGAGCAGAAGAAAGGTAAGCAGCATGATTGCAGTATTGTCTGTGGGACTGATCAGTAGCTTAAGTTCCTGTGCAAGAAATGCTTGTAACTTTAGTGCTTATTTGCCATACAGGGTATGGCGTGTCTTGGAGGCAAGAGTAAAAATGATATATAGGTATACAGAGTGGGTTACTGGGCATTAGATTCTTTTTAAATTTTATTTTTCATTGTAATTGTATCAACTAATGTATGAATTCTGGAGAAGAGCACTTCTTTGTCACCTCTCTTGTATGGTCTTGGTCTGGGGTTATCCTGTTGAACTTCTGGTAAACCGCATGACTAAAACATGGTGGCAGAGCAGGGAATTCTCAGGGAAGCAGAGGGACCAAGACAAAATACAAGCAGAGCTGAGGTGGTGTTGCATTTTCTGAGCTCTGGGATGGGGGTAGGGGGTGAGCAGATTTTCAAAGCTAAATTTCACTGGGGATAAAGAACTGCTAAAACAACATTTTAGAATAGCAGATTAACTCAGTCCATGTTTTGGTGACTATTCAACACTGTCACAAATCGCCCATCAGAATTAATTGCTGTGTGGTGGCTAGAGTGCCAGAATAAATTCTGGGAGACCCAGGTTTAAATCCCCACTTTGACATGAAACTCTCCCTCCATCAATCTCACAGACTTTTTGTGAGGATAAAATAAAGAAGGAAGAATCATGTACCCAGTCAGAAGTATAGTGTCCAGATCACACAAAGTGATGGTATCACTTTAATCTGCTCTGGTTAGACCTCACCTAGAGTATTGTGTTCAGATTTGGGCACCACAATTTAAGAAGGGCGAGCCTAACTTACCTGAAAATTTTCACCCTATCAGCCTTCTATCAATCGTGGGGAAATTATATGCGAAGCATCTAGAACATCGCTTACTCAACTGGGTCCAATTTAATGCCATTATAGGGCCAGAACAAATTGGCTTCTCCAAAGATAAATCAACCTTAGACCATTGTCTGATTCTCTCTACCCTAGCCGAAAAATATATGAAACTAGGCAAAAAAAATCTTATAGCCTTCATCGACTTAAAAAGTGCCTTTGATTCAATCTCTAGAGAAAAACTATGGGATTAACTGTTCAAACTAGGAATTGATTTACGTCTCCTATTCCTTCTAAAATATTAAATACAGCCACAACGAGTCAAGTTAAGTATTCTCCAAATGGTAGGCTGACCAATAAAATTCCATCTAAGACAGGAGTTAAACAAGGATGTGTCCTTGCCCCCCTTCTTTTTAACCTATTCCTCTCTGACTTGGCACGCTCACTTGAGTTTGTGAATGGTCATCCACCCAAACTAGGAGGCAAATCAGTACCCATCCTTTTATACGCAGATGATACTGCTATTTTATCTTTCATTAAAATTGGATTTCAAAGATATCTAGAAGCCTTTAACAACTATTGCCACTTAAATCTGCTTAAAATCAACTATACCAAGACAAATGTCATAGTATTTTTTAAAAAATGGGTTCCCTACAATTGGCATATTGGCAATGTCAGAATTCAACAAGTTAAAAGTTATAAATATCTTGGTGTAATTTACAACTACAATCTCAGTTGGGCAACCCACAGAAATAGGACTATAAAACTAGCGAGGATCTCTCTAAACCAACTTAGATCCTTCTTTTTTACCAACGGCAATCAATATGTCCCTGCTGCAATCAGAGTACTTAACTCTAAGATTCTATCTCAGGTCCTGTTCAGAATCCCTATTTGGTTCACTGCCCATAACCGTGATGTGGAGAACATCCAAGCGATCTTTCTTAGACAAATAATGGGTGTCCCCAAATGCATGCCTTACCTTACAATCTGCTCTGAAGTGGGACAAAATTTGATTGTCTCAATGACACGCTACTGGCTCAGGATCTACTTTAGAGCTGAGCCGGGCTCCTTTTTATCGTTTATGCAAAAAACCCTGCATAATTCCTCCTGGGATTCCATAATTATATCCAAATTAAATCAATTTGGTGTTCCTCTTGAAGACCTAGCCCTAACCAATGAACCTCGTATTTTTAAACTAATCTAACAACAACGATATTGATCTGCAAAAGCTTCACCCTACCCAACCTCATATTTGTTCACCTGCCACGCTCAGCCTTTCTTAACCATTTAGGCAAGATCCCCCAATATTTTTATACTCTCGATATCCCTCTTCATTGCAGAGCTTTTCTTCTGGCCAGGGTTAACGCATTTCCCTCTAGAATACTCTATGGCAGATATCATCAAATCCCAAGACAAGAACGGCTGTGCCCCTGTGGTTTTAACTCCCTGGACATGATTGAGCACATAAGTGTCAAATGCCCCCTGTCATGATCTGGGCTGTGCCAGTAGAGGCCTACTAGGCCCAAGGAGCCTGGCTAGCAGTAGGTGAGGCTGGGCCTACAACTCCCAGAAGCCCCTGGGAGGTTTTGGAGCCAAAATGGACCAATAGGAAAAGAGGAGGGCTGGGAATGAAAGTTCTGGAGCAGCAGGAAGAGCTGTTCTTTCTTCCAGAGGGTAGAGCTGGAAGGAAGGCTGCTACAGGGGAGAGACCCTCATCCTGAGGACAGGGTGAGTAGTGTAAGGCCACGTGAGATAGTGAGCTAGGGACAGTGTATATTTAGACGCGTTAGGGCATTTGATTTCTTTTCTTTTCACCCAATTACTGTTATTATTCTGCACCTTGTTGTTTGACCTCCTATAAAATAAACCTTTTTCTTGTTTCACTCTGCCTGGTCCTCACGTCTGTTATTCCGCCTAAAGGGAGGTCTGAAGGTCTTGGGAGGGTACTCTGGGCCTTCTCAAGGGAACCTAAATCCAGAGTGGTGGCAGCGTCAGGTGACACCCCCATCTGAGTCGTGACACCCCCTGTATGAGCTACCTCACGGAAAATTCCTTCTAACATCCTAAAAGTTATTTGAGTAATAAGTCAAAATGTCAACTTCTCTTAAATGATTCGCTCCATGAGATCACTAATGATGTTGCCAAGTTTCTTACAGAAGTTCTTAAGATACAATATTTTAGATAGTACTATTTTGATTGTACTAAATTTATATGGAATTTTAGATTTAATTTTACGGTACAATGTTTTATATACTTTATGACTGATGATATGCCAGTAAAGGTCTATGAATGAATGAAGAAGGATATAGACAAGCTGGAACATGTCTAGAGGAGGGCAACAAAGATGGTGAGAGGTATGGAGACCAAATCCTATGAGGAAAGGTTGAAGGAGCTGAGTATGTTTAGCCTGGAGAGGAGATGACTGAGAGGTAATATGATAACCAAGTACTTGAAGGGCTGTCACATAGAGGATGGTAC